ATCCCCAAGAAATATCGTAGTTACACTATTGTGAAGTATAGTTGACTGAAAGTATAGAGTTAGAGTTGAAAAGGAGTTTAAAGGTCACACAGTCCAGTCTCTCTCGGCTCCACTAGACTAGAGCCTCTGACAGATGACTATCCAGGCTGTTGCAAAACAACTCTGGTCAAAAAGAACTTACTGCTTCATGTAGTAGCTTGTTAGACTGTCTGACAGCTCATACTGCGGAAGTTTCTCTACATGTCTGGTCTGAAGCTGTTTCCTTGTAGTTTTAATCTGTTGGTTCTGGTCCTACCCTCTGAATATAGATCCTTTCCCTCTTGTTTGTGAGAGAAAGGTATTTGAAGACAGCTCTCTTCTCTCTCTTCTAGGCAAATTGTGAGTGGATTCTGTCAGCATTCCCCAAAGGCGTTGTTTTTTAAACCTCTTAACAATCCTCATAGCTTTCCTCTAAACACTCTCCAATTTGTCATTTCCAGACTGTTCTTGCATTTCAAGCAAGGACTGACCAAAGATCTAACAAAGTAGAACAGCTCACCCACCCACCTTTTCTCTGGACTCTGTGTTCATGTTAATTCAGTCAAAAATAACATTTGCCTTTTTAGCTGGATCATACTGCCAGCTCATGTTTAGCATGGTTGATAGACATCTGGGTAGATATATCACTTGCATGTGTGCTACTGCCAACCCCGCCATCTTCTAATTATGCCTACCATTTTTCTATGCAGATATATAACCTCTACATTTCTCCCTGTTAAATTCTAACCCCATTGTTTTCAATTTATAGTTCATCTAGATCTTTTTTAATCCTTTCTCTTCACAAAAACCCTTTGTCTTTTTTCTCCCCCCCCCCTACTATTTTCTTATCCACATCACACACACACATACAAAAGCTCCCATATCTTTCTTTGTTTGTTATCTGAATGGCACATGTTTTGAAAAAAAATATTCTCAGAGTTATGAAAAATACTTCCTGTAAGTAGAAAAATTGCTTGGAGATACCAATGCATTTTTACAAGTTCCTGGCTTATCGCTGCTTCTGATTTCCGTAGTACAAGCAGTTGGAAGTCTCATTGGCAGATAATAAAAAAATGGAAAGCAGGCATGAATACAGTTGTGGGTTTCGTGATGATAAGGCAAGAACATTGGTATCAGAAATAGCATTGGAGCAGAATATTCTTACCATGGCTGTTCACTGGCTAAAATGCCATTTTGACTTGATTAAAAATATAGCCCACTTTCAAAACACTATAATTAATTCTTCTCTATAGTCACAGAACAAAATGAACCTAAACCATTGAGATTGGTGGTTGGTGGCACCTAACTTGGTTTTGGATTGTAGCCATATATCTATTCATTATTTTGAATAAGCAAAAAAAACCCATTCATATATTATTTTCTTTCACTTCAGATTGTTATCAACAGATATGGCCTGGAAGGGATATAATATGGGTACATAAGGTACCATTTTATGGGAGTTTGTTAATTAAATGATCCCCATATAACTTTACTATATAGCTTTTAATCTGCAATCCTTACAAAATTTATTATTAAAGGCTCTGTTTTGAGGGGACCAACAGGCATTTGATTATTATTTTTAAAATACAGGGAACATGGCATACCACAACTATAGTATTTAGTCTAATATTGCTTTATGGATCTCTTTAAAATAAAATTTAGCTTTTGAAATCTGATCAAATTCTTTACATAATATTTTAAGCCCACTTCACATAAAATTGCTTTCCTTTTCAAAAAACTGTTTTTAAATAGGACCAATTCTGGTTTTGAGGAAGCCCTTATTTAAATATCTTGTGATTGGTCTCTCTTCCATTGATGAGTTTTGTTGGATTTGTTTAATGGTAATAAGTAACAATTCATTTAACAGCACTAGGTTTCTTGTTTTAGCAACCATTAACTTCTTGGGACTCTTCTTAACTGTCAAATTGTAATTTTTTGTGGCCCGTTGCAGCAATTTCTCAGTATCTTAGCTGGGTTATGTGTTGAGAGCAAATAACCAGAACAGTCCTAAAGCAAGTTCCACACAGCATTCTTTATGACAATTTGTTTATTTGTCATATTTATATTCACCATAACCATAAGACACTCCCTTTTTTAAATTGTTTGAATCCTTGTTCCTTTCCTGGGGTTAAGATTGTCTTTTTCTTTTGCTGGACTGCTGTGTTGGGGTAACATAATTATTTTTTGTTGTGTACATGTTGGAGTTACTTGACTGCCATCTCTTGGTCTTTTCCCCACTCCAGATGCTAGAAGTCATCTGAGTAGAATCTTCATAGGCCAGATGCTGGTATCAGTTTCTGGGTCATGCATTTCCACCTTACATTCTCTGTCTTGAATTCTTTAATTTTCTTTGCATGTTCTCTTTTACTGTGGTTTAGCATGATATCCATCCTAAAGCTGACTTGTGTCTCATTTAATAACATGAAGTAGTCAGCAATAGAATTATAGTGTCTGTTTAGTTTATTTCAGGTCTACTTTCTAGAAGGCTGATTAATGCAGATATCAAACCATAGTTGTGAAGCTGGCTTGCAAAAACCTGGTGGTAAAATTGTTGCTTGCTATTAAATTTGTATTCACATGAAGTACATCAAGGATTTTGGGTTGATTTCAAGAGTTTGTTACACTATGAACACAGATTGAATAAACAAAGTTTTGAAACGAAGTAAAAAGGGAAATAAAAACGAAGAGTCATTTATGATCTATAAAGGTAATCCCCAACTTATGACCATTCATTCAGTGATTGTTCAAAGTTACCTTGGCACTAAATAAACAGTCTTATGATTGGTCTTCAAAGTTACAATCACTGTAGCAATCACATGAACAAACGTCAGGCCTGTAGCAGCCCACCCACACTTATAATCACATGGTCACTTCAACTCCCCGCTCTTTTCCTCTCATCTGTACACCCTTTTGACCTCCCTACCTGACCTTTGCTTTCTCCTTGTTCCTTCTACTAATCAATTATGTCCAGCCTGTATCTTTGCCCAAAACTTTTTTCCCAACACCTGGTTTGCTCACAAGACCTGCAGAAGGTGGCTTTCATGTCTCCAGCAGCTTCCTTGCAAAAAGGACAGGGGGAGGCACACCCCTTCAGCTGTGGGAGCAAGAAGACAGCAAAGGCCAGCTGGCGTGGCAGAGCATAGGGAAGCAGAGGCCTTAGCGTGTGCAGTGATGAGGGTGGCTGGGCCTGGGATTCACTGCCCAAACCTGGCAAAAATTAACCCCATGGTATTTTGGATTATTAAATAAAGCTCATTAATAGGCAAAGATCTAGAAATATCTTTACAATGAAATATTCAGGCTAAGATTAATACTGCCCATTTCAGTACATAAGTGTTATGTAGGCATGGCTGTCAGCTTTGGAATCCTTATTAAAAGCTGCCACACAGCTGTGGAGGATGGTAGCGGGGCTGCTGCTGTTCGAGTAGCTTTCAGTAGACAAAATAAACCAGTAAAACCTTCAAGGTCATTCTCTATGGCGCAGCAAGAATTGTAGCTGAAGGGAGATTGGTTCACGTGATGTGAGGAAAAAGGGGTGGGTGTAGGTTGAGTCTTGTGGGAAATCTGGGAGGAAACTTTAGTTTCAGAATTCCTCATACGTGATTTCTCATTTAATAAATCTCTTTGAGATTATGGTTGTCTCGGAGTTACTGATTGGAACGGATAATTTCTGGAACCCTGACACTGGCATTATAAAATGTTTACCATATTTTTCTGTGTATAAGATGATACTTTTTCTTAAAAATATTTACCTAAAAATGAATGGGCATCTTATATATGGGGGTTGGGGGGGGGGGAGAAACATGGTTGCGAAATTGCCGATACCTTATTTCGGCAAACTAGCCTCATGAGTGAAACTTCCAATTGCTTAAGATACTGATTTCTGAATTTTGGGTAAGAAGAGTGAGGGGGGTGTCTTATACATACTGGCATCTTATAGATGAAAAAATAGGGTATGTCCCAGAAATATTTGCAAATGTGTTATGAGAGTGTAATAAAAATTATAACAACAACTATTATTGAAATGGGAAGGTTTGGAAGAAAAATTTAACTATAACACCAATAATAATCACAACTTTTGGAGCCAAAGCACTTTACCAGACTTGACAATGGCAGACTATTTTTTTTTAAAAAAACCTATCTTTCTTGATAAGATGCAAAGTATGAATAGAAATCAGAGCTTCTGTTCTCTAAGCAGATTACCAGAGAAGATACAAGCAAAGATTTATTGATCTGGTGTTTATAGTTTAGCATTCTATTAGAGGCCACTGTGCATAGAAAACACTTAAATAGGCTATGCTCATTTCTAAAAATTAAAATTATAAATATGTTATTTCATCAGAAAAACCCAAGCAGCCAGATTCTTGGCTTAGAATATTTGCTGAATCTAAAACAGCCACAAAGAAGTAAACCAAAAGTAAGGAACACATGTTTTCTTTTTTTTTTTAATCCACATTTCTGTGTTTGTTAAAGTTAAGTCTAAGCAATCTAATTATGTTCAAGTATATGGAGGCATCCTTTTAGTATTTTATTTCATTTTTAATTTGGAAAGTCAATTAAGATAATGTATACCGGTAAAACACCACTACTGTTGTGAGAAGTCCTACTTGATGCTTGTGTCTCAATATTTGATGGTTTTATTCAAAATCCAATCCCTTGTTTATGCAGTCCCTTGTTTATGGCAGTTATAAAACTGTTATTTAAAGAACAGAAATAAAACATTCTATGGATAGATATTAGGACATTCTATGGATAGGTTGACATTTTACTTTTAACATGTAATTTCTCAGAGTCTGCTGGGACAAATGTGGAAAAACTTACGAAGAAGTAACCCAAATATGTGTTCTACTTCCAGGATACCAGTTTTGTTTATGTATTGATATTCCATAAAATTATGTGTAAGACAAAAATTCATTCTTTAACCTCCTGTCAGATTTTTTTTTTCTCAGTGTATTCTCTGTCTTTTTCTTTTATTAATATAGGGATCCTTTAAGAATTCAGCAGTTACAGAACCAAATCCGACTGGAAAAAGAAGCAGACCAGTGGTGTCATCAAAAGCAAGCTGGTTTCCTCCAGAGTCTTCCCTTGTCCCCAACTTTTCTCCCTCCATCTTCATTCCAAGAACTGGAGTCCAGCCACAGTCCTTCTCCTGTGCAAATGAGTGTTCTCGATTCTCATTCTGCTCCTGCCATGCAGACATCCAGTTCTTTCAACTATGCCCGTCCAAAACAATTTATTGCTGCACAAAATATTAGCCCTGCTCCAAGCTATGTAACCCAGCCATCTGGCTCTTCCACATCTAGTCTCCCATCCCCAATGTCCCCAACTGCTTCTCAGAAGCAGTTTGGTAAAACATCTGCCTACCCTTTCTCTCAGACATTTGCTCCTGAGGAAGAGTACCCGTGGTCTCCTTCCCCACCTCCTCCCCCTCCCCCTGTTTTTAGTCCTACGTCTACTTTTTCAGTGGCAGATTCCTTTCCACTGCCGCCACCTCCACCTCCTCTGCCAGCTTCTGTCCCCTCACCTTCCCACAGTTTTTCTCCGACATCCAGACTATCCAGCTCTAGTCAGTCTCCAGCAGCCTTTCTCAGCTCCATGCTACCATCTCAGCCACCTCCAGTGTCAGTTAATGCACTAGGACTTCCCAAAAGTGTTACACCATCGTAAGTATGAATATTTGGTGAACTTCTCAAAAATAGTTTTTATTATTTATTCTTAATTTTGAAAGGCACGAATGTATAAAATCTAAATAACTGTATATTTTACACTGGAATAGTGTGAGATGTTTTTCATAATTTTTCATCAGGAGAATTCTACTGTTGTTTCTTTGATTTACAAGATTGATAAAAATTGATACTTTTCTCATACAGGCCTGATTTTATCTCATTCTCAATTTTCTGTATCTTGTGCATCAAAAATATATATGCAAGTTTCGTTTGAAGGAACAGAAACATTTATTATTGCGAACTGAGCTCTTTGATGATGATTAATTCATTAATTCATCATTCCTTGAAAGCCCCTTTTTTCAGAAAGTCATTATCTGTATGATAACGTTACACTATACCATATATAACTTATTTTCAATGCAAATCCTTTTGCAGAATAGATCTACATGGAAACATTTGCCTTAGTTTGTTTTATAGCTCAACTGTTAAATTTATTCCTTAATCTGTCTCCCATATTTCCCTATCATCTTAAAGATCCTCATGTCAATACTGACTAACATTTTATGACTTATTTATTTTAAGATGACTTTGGTTCTTAGGTTACCTCATTTTAATTATTTGAAATTTGATTAAATTCTTGGTTCCTGCTTCTATATTATTTTATTTTTAATTAAAAGGGAGCAAGAAAAGTGATTCCTTGCAATATGATCAAAGATTTTTTTTAAAACTCTGTTTACTTCCATTCATTCTATGGTTTTCTCTATACTACTAAGATTCAAAAAGATGGATACTAATTGCAAGGGGGCATGAGAAAAGGAATACATTTTATGCAGTTTTTTAACAAGATATTTTTATGCCTGATATATTTGTGTGTGCGTGTGCACGGTTGCGTGCATGCACATATCTGTGTGTGTACCCTCAAGTCAGTGTTTACTTCTAGCAACTCCTAGTCTCTGCATTTTTCTTGGCAAGATTTCAGAAGTGATTTGTCATTGCTTTCTTCCTAGTATTCAGAGAGAGATCCACCTAGCAGGCTTTGTGCTTATGGTGGAACTAGAACTCATGATCTGCTGTTTTTTAGTGCCTTAACTACTATACTAAACTGGGTCTCCTTCTATATGCCTTAAATTTCCTTTTAAAAGTCCACTTTTATTAAACATACTGTACCAAACTGTTTATCACTATATGGTGCGTCTCCATATTACATTTGTAATAACAGGTCTTATAATAGGTTGTATTCTTATATTCTTTTCCAAGTCTTTTTTCATTTGTCTTGATATATATTCATATGGCAATGATTTAATCAAGAGGACAGCACATTACAAAGTATAAGCTTTGAAAAATGCATCATTTTTCACCAATTTTATTCTGCTATTGTACTTCAATACAATATTATTTTTCACCATTTGGCAGTCCTTTACAATAACATTCCAAACTGAAATGTAATTAGTTTCAAACAATTTAATCAGGCTCTTCACAACTATATTTTTATTTCATTTTAATTCGTGTTGTTCTAGATTTTGAATGATCATCTAGTTTATACAATGTGCATTTCAATTAATGTTATTCTGTATATTTCATTCAAATTATATTTTAGTGTGTTTTATTTTAAACCACTCAAAAAGCTTTGCTTACTTCTTAAAATAAAATTTTATTAAATTAGAATAAAAAGATTCAAGAATGTATGTTATTAAACATAATTTTTGAATTATAAAGTAAAAATGATAATCTTCACAGAGATATGCAGGAATATTACTTAAGGAAAAAAAGTCCAGGACAAGATAACTTTCAGAAGAAGCTCAGGCTGATTAGAATATGAGAAGGGGCAGAATGCAGAAGAAGACTGTCCCTTTTTGCTTGAAGAATAGTGGTTGTTCTTTGGCATATGGCAAGATGCCATAGGAAGCATTGTATAATCTTATAAATGGCCACCCAGATGGCTCAAGGCCATCTTGAGATGGTTCAAGAAAAGAGTTAAAGAGAAGCATATGTTAAGAATCTTCTTCATTGCATCTTAGCTAAAGTATGTTCAAATGCTAGAAATTAATTCAAACCATCTCCTTCCTTTATAGTGACTTCTTTTATAAACAGTTTATTTTTTTAATGCTACTTACCGTTTACCAATGTAGAAAGTGGGTAGATGTAAGGCAGGGATGTCAACTCATGGCCTGCGGGCCGGATGCGTCATGTGCTGGCCCCGCCCAGTTTAGCATGGGGGGGGAAGTCCTGATATGTCATGTGACGCTGCCCTGATGACACGAGTTTTACACCCTAGATGTAAGGGGTAAGAGCAAGAGCCTGGCATGCTGTCCATTTTTGGATATAATGCACCTCTAGGGAATTTCATGGATTTTATTAAGTCCAAGTTACTAGATGAGAGAGATGCTTGGTTATTTCAGATGCTTTGAGTTGCGCTACTTTGTAAAGTGATTATTTTATATGCTTAGGGTATTGGGATACCTCCTTTACTTCTTTGCTAAATGAAATGGTTATTTTGTTGGAATCAAGCAAGGGATTAGGGGCCCCTTGCTTACTTGGAAGACAACTGTAAAGGTAAGAGGAGAGACCACATGAAAAAGGGGAACAAATGAACACGCTTGAACTTCTTTCTGTCTTTCTAAAAATTAAAAAGGAGATTGTAATATCCTTCATGACAAGCGAAGCATTTTCTTTATAACTAAGAACTATGTGTAGTTCTCAACTTAGGACCATAATTGAGCCCAATATTTCTGTTGCTGAGAAATTTGTTAAATGAGTTTTGCCCTATTTTAGAACTTTTCTCACTGCATTTGTTAAGTGAACCACTACAGTTTTTGCCTTAGTAACCCAATTGTCGTGAATCTGGCTTCTCCCTTGACTGCTTGCTAGAAGGTCACAAAAGGGATCACATGGCTCTGAGACCCTGCATCTGTCATAAATGTGAGCCAGTTCTCAAGCATCCGAATATAAATCATGTGACCATGAGGATGCTGCAACAGTCCTAAGTTTGAAAAATGGTTGTCACTTTTTTCAGTGCTGTTGTAACTTCAAACGATCACTAAATGAACTTGATACAGTTTGGGATGGTAGTTGCAACAATTTAAAAAATATTTATCCTGAAAATAAACTTGCATTAAATTATTCCATATCTGTCTAAATATTTATTTACTTATTTATTAGATTTTTATCCTGCATTTATTACCATATAACTAACTCAGAGGTGAACCTCTAATATTTCTTCCCTTTCCTTTTTTCCCCACAACAACAATCTTGTGAGGAGGATTGGGCGGAGAGAGAGTGTCTGGCCCAATTCACAGTTTCCTGGTTTCTTGGCCAGCATCTTAACCACTACACAATACTCATTCTTGAATAGAATATTAATATAATCAAATACTGATTTCTATCTGTTCCAAATCCTGCCTTGAAGGTGTTATTGTTCCTTTCCTCCCTTTTTTCTAATACATGAGAGCATGCACTGAGGGATGAGAAATGTTATCATATAGGGCAGGCAATTGCTACTGAAACTCAACAGTTGCAAGTCATAACAACAACAACAACAACAACAACAACAACAACAACAACAACAAGAAGGCTGACTCCAACAGACTCTGGGCGGCTTACCATACAAATATAAAATAAAGCAGTTAAGAACATACAACCCCACAGGCAGTCTGGGTTAAAATAATTATAACAGGAGCAAACTAAACACAGTTTAGTCCCACAAACCCATCAACCCCAGACTTTGGGACCAGAGCCTTAAATCCTTTTTGGAACCCCAAGAAAGAGGCTGTTTTCTGTATCTCTTGGGGTGGTAGATGCTGTTCCAGAGGGCAGAAGCTGCAGTAGAAGGCGTATCTCCTTATTTCCATAAGATGACATTTAATAAAAGGAACCCGGAACATACCCACTTTGCCAGAGGTGCACAGTTGATGAGCAACCAGGCCTTGGCACACAGCTGCATTGTCTGGGCAGGGGCAGACCTGACAGGCTGTGGTAGATCTGTGAAAAGCTACCTAGATATGCAAGTGGGCAACTTTTTCCAGAAAGGTTCCCGTACCTTTTTTAAAATCCAGAAACATCCTGCACAGAATGTGAGTGATTTAAAAGCACTAGTAATCAATCGCTTTGAATACTTTTTAAAATAGGTGGGATTTGAATTAGTTCTTCTGTTTCAGGTTGTTCTTCTTATTAGCCAGGATATTCTTAATTACTGACATTTCTGGATTTTTTTTTTCTTTCCTTCAAGCTAATAAAATTAATAATACAGTTTGCATTGAAGTTCTGATATTTTGTCCTACAGTTAACCCACTCAGTGAATCTGGATGTACCTCATTAGAAAATATAACATGCTTTTTCAAACATTACCTCCAAACACAAAATGTTTATTATCAGCTTATACATTTTGCTATTTCAAAATTTCATAATTATCCTTTCACTTCTAAATTATGTCTATTTTAATTTTAGTTATTACATAGTCAAATGCAGATAATTAAAAACCCTGCAAGCAAAATTACAGTTAGCAGATTTTAGCTGCAAAAATCCAGTTTACTACAGGATAGGAGTAAAGAATTAGAAATGTTCAGCTTGAAATGAAATCTGATTTTGATTTTACTGTTTTATATACGGTATATTTCATTATAATCAGTTTGTGAGTACACAAGCTGAGTTTGTGATCTACCGTTTCTTCTGATTCTTTACACAATCTCACTTTGAATCATTTGGGATTTTTCAATTCTGACCTTGATTACATTAATTTGACTAGCTTGGCTGATTAAAATAAAAGTTAGCACTCATTAAACTTAGAATTTCTCTATACGGACCTGTCTTCTTTGTAAACTATTACTGATTTATTTACAGGGGATTTCCAAAGAAATCGGGCAGGACTGCCAGAATTGCATCTGATGAAGAAATTCAGGGCACAAAAGATGCTGTTATCCAAGACCTGGAAAGGAAACTTCGCTTCAAGGAAGATCTCTTGAACAATGGCCAACCAGTATGTAGCTTGCAGCAATACTCTAAATAGCTTTCTTACTTTATGCACATTTGGAGAGAATTTAACTTTGCATTCATGTGGATTTCAATTTTGTATGGTACTATATTCTATTATAGCTAGTCTTGCATAATAAAGACAGATTTTCAAATATAGAATTGAGTTGCAAGATCCAAACTGAAATATTCTCTATAGTGGTTTTCCATCATGCACTGAGACTAGGTGTAGAAAATATATGGTGCCCCAATCCTTATTTTGCACTCAGAAGTTTCCTTCACTTATATGATGGAATCTTTCCTTCCAGCTTATAATTACTAGATCTGGTAAATGTTGCCTCTGGTTGGTCTATTTATGATTTCTTTGAATACAGTATAGATCTTTGAATACAGTATAGATCTTATATTTATCATTTTTATTTAATCAATTTATATTACATTATTACTTTTCAGCATAAAGATGAAGGCTATTAAGGCAATTTACTGTTGCTATTAGCAGGATAAGGTGGGGAAAAGATAAATGACTACCAAGGAACACTCAGTTTCAGGTCCATTCCTACTTTCTTAAAAGTGAAAGATTACTTCATGGGCTTTCAACAAAATGGCAGTAAATATGTTGAACACTTGTGGAGGCTACAGGAGTCAGGTATGCCAGTTGTTTAGTGGGGGCGGGGAAACCCAGTAAATTATATACCCATGACATGACTGGAATCCCTGTATGGTTCACAGGTAAGTACTGTTGAGTGAGTTTCTAGGATCACTGCCAGCAAATAGAATTTCACGTTGCTAAATTATAGCTGTAAATTTTGACTGTAGTTAATTGGTTACCTGATACTCATACTTGTTTTAATTTACATCTTATATTTTCAAAGTTCTATAAGGAGGAAATCAGACTTATGCTCCTTCCTGTTCCGCATTCCTCTTTTGGTGTCAATACTTTTGCAAAATTTAGACTTGGTCAGTAAAACTCACAAAGCAAGGGAATTGTTTTTGTAGTATACTTGCACTAATGCACGTACCATATAAAGCAATATAGAATTATTATACTAGAGTTTTATATTTTTATCTTGAACAATAACAATAGCACTTAGATGTGTATACCTCTTCACAGTGCTTTACAGCCCTCTCTAAGCAATTTACAGAGTCAGCATATTGGCTGGGTCCTCATTTTACGACCTCAGAAGAATGGAAGGCTGAGTCAACCTTGAGCCTGGTGAGATTCGATCTGCCAAATTGCTGGCAGTTGGCAGTCAGCAGAATTAGCCTGTGTTCTAATCACTGTGCCACCACGGCTCTTTACTTTGTAGTAAGGAGTAGAATACAAATGTCTTCAATATATATGTAAAATATAAATATATAGAGCAAATATTAGCCAACAAAATGAGACTTCATTGGAGGAACAATACGTGTTGTTCAGAACTGTGGATTACAGCTGTCATTATTCTAAACTAGCATAGACAAAGCCTGCAATACAGCCTGCCTCAACTTGTAATCCTCTAAATGTATTGAATTTCTAACCACTGTGGCCAAAGGCAACCCCGGATATGGCCAGGTTAAGGAAGGTTATAACAAATCAGCTTCTTTGTCTAAGCTTAGAACAAGTTTGATCCAAAGGTTTCATTCCTCAGAGACCCCTTCTCTAGCAAAAGAGCCTTGTGGATTCATGAATTGCCAACATAGGTTTTAGTTGTACAGGTAGCTCTGGAGTCATTGAAGTCATTGAGCTCTGGAGTGTGCTGATTTGATGTAAATGGATTTCCTATTTGCTCTGGCTCCTATTTTTATTCGAGAAAGAAAGCTAGCAGATTTCTAAAAAAATGTTTATTTTAAAACAGGCAGTTTTAGAATCTTCTTTTTGTCCCCAGATCTCACTCTACTGTAACTGATAAAAATTGATGACACTATTTCCAGATACTTTAAACTCACAAAAACTGTATTAGAAGTTCTAAAATAACAACAGCTCCACTCTTCAAATAAGTCATGGAGATACTAGTTCCCATGCCATTTATGATTTTACCTCCCTCACTTTATATCATCGTACTGCCTATTGTGACTTTTGGCAACTTGAAAAAACGTTGACTGGCTCATGACTAGTAAAATGTTGTCTACCTCTGACAGAAATGTATTAGTTACATTGAAATATGTGTTGAAATTTGGAGAACATTATTCATGTATTTACTGGTAGATGACGCAGATGTCTCATTCTTCTAATTTAGAAGTTAACATATGAGGAAAAGATGGCTCGTCGATTGTTGGGGGCTGACAATGCTGCGACAGTCTTTAATATTCAAGAACCAGAAGAAGAACTTGCAGAGCAGGTACTACAATTTAGCTTCCTACTCATATAATAAAATAGCAATTTTCTTGTTAAAATAGGTTTTTGGGTTTTTTTGAAGGAGCGATGACAACATTGCTTACTTTTAGACTTAATTTTTAATCCAGGTAGGTTGATAAACATTTTTACGGTCATTAACTAGCATGTAATCTGGTATTCTTAAACAATGACCCAAACAAGTAATCTAGGGTTAGCCTAACCCTAGACCACAATGGCTAGGTTCACACATCAATTAACACACATTTACATTATGCAGGCCAATATTGGTTTTCATAAAGATATTCATACTACATTGCATGCTTATAGCCCAGCTTTACATTTCTTTTCCGCCGATCTTGGCTCCCTAAACGGAGGTAAATTGCAAGAAATTTTGGATTCAGTCTAAAATGTATTCAGTCTTCAGGATTTAATCATTTGATTAAAGTTATTTGGTGTACCAGTTATAGGTAAATTTCACAGTATCATGATATCAAATCTATATACAGTTTTTTGTGTGGGATAGGTTTTGTTAGACATGTTTATTTTGATTCTGCTTTTTAATAATACTCCAGCCTTAGAGAGGAAAATATTAGCCTGGTCACGCTTATAGCTAAATGTTGACTGTCCAATAGCTCTTCAGCAAGTGATGTGCTAGCAACCTGCCCAAACTGAGTTTGTATAGACTGAAATATGTCCAAAGAATTGCTAATAATCATGTTTTTAGTACTGTATGCTTTTCATCTCTGCAAATTCCCCCTTTTACCATTAGTCTGAAAACGAACTGCCTATATGTCAGAGACTAGGTAATGAACAAGGGATACCATTATATTAGATGTGAATTGGCCTTCATTTACTAATGTCCTGCTTCATGGGTAGACAATCAACATTCCTTCTGCTGGATTCAGGTCTGCAAAGTGCACTGAAAGATTCCACACTTGCTCTGAGGCATTTTTTTTTAAAAAAAGGTAGTGTTTTAGTTCTATAGTTGATTGATGTAAACAGACAAAAGTATGAAGTAATGGAGGAAATGTGGACAATTTGAAGCAGAAATGAAAGGTTTTATGGAAAAGCCAGATAGTTTTGCTGGCAGAATTATTGCAGGCCAAGGCATTTATAACTGCTTAACCAAATATTTGATTATTTTTACAACTAGAAAAAAATGGAATCTGAATTTGCCTTGAACAGGAACAGAATCCTATAAAATCAAAACGATTTTGTTCAAACTCTTGCACGATTGCAGGCAATTGTAATGCAGAATACAGTGTTTCTTCCTTAGCTTATCACATGAAATAACAATTTTAAGATTTCTTTCAATTTTCATGTCGTCTTTCCTGCTTGTTCATTCTATTTCATTTTAACATCAAATATAGTCTGCATATTGAGAGATTTATTTTAGTGCAGAAGAATAAGAAACATTTCTACACTTTAATAAAATGCCAAGTCATCATCATTTATAATCAATCCCGAGAAACAATTTGTCCAAGATTATTAAAAATTTCTCCTACAGTTCTTTTAGTGTCCGTATTTTTTCTGCTTTTACAGGGAACTGGTTCTGTTGATGCTTCTGTAGTGACTCATGAGGCTGTGCAAAAGGTTCTACTTTTTTTCTTGTTTTCCTGTCTGTCTTGCTACTTCCTCTTTTGGCATTGCAATACTGTTTGCAGAATTTAATCTTTGCTTCCTTTCCTTTAGATTATTCACTAACACTGAGATTTAAAACTATTCTTTACTATGTAGTAAATATCTCCACTTCAGATCATTTTAGGGAATACATAAACAGAATGGGATTCCATTCAAAATATTTAAAATGATCAAATGGATCATTTTGCATTTTGCTTAACCACTTAAATATAATCTAAGGGGTTATTTCAATATTTCCAGCCCTTAAAACAGAAACATAATCTAATCCATATATTCCATTACATATGCCCATTGCTCAATTAAAGTATTCATTTATGTTTTGCTTCATAGAATACTATTTAAAATGTGCAGACCTGTATATCTACATTTTTAATTAAAATCTGGAAAATTGAAATAATTATAATCTCATCAAATAACCTGCCTGATAAAGTGATATTAAAGTCTTAACTAACTTGAGTTTTCTGTTATTTACAGGAATACAAAGTCTCCAGTTTTGAGCAGAGACTGATCAGTGAGATTGAATTTAGATTGGAGAGAACTCCAGTAGAAGAGTCTGATGATGAAGTGGAACATGGGAAAGATGTTCTTGATAGCAGCCTGGCCCCATATTTTGAGGCAAAACTTAAACATTACAAAATATTTGAAGGAATGCCAGTCACTTTTATATGCAGAGTGTCTGGAAATCCAAACCCAAAGGTGAGTAGCGGGAAGGGACGAACACTTTGGACAGTTCACACAAAAATTCAAAGGAATCTTTCATAAAGATTCAGAAAAATATGCTGTTGGGCTTTTCTAATATCCTTAAAGTGTGACCAATTCACACAAGTGGTGAATACATGGGAGTTTTTCAACTCATATCAAAATTGTTGCATAGTACAGACAGCATGAAAGATGAGAATGTTGAATTCTAGTCTATATGCTTTCAGGTTTTTCTTAAGTGTTCAGTGAACTGGAAGGTCTATTTTAGACCCTTGTGGATGATCTTTGGAGCTTTCCCAGCATGTAGATTTTCACTTCTGTTGGTTGGAACTAATAACTTAAAGGCTATTTTTCTTCATAATAAACATGTAAAGAATACAATGCTTCTGTTCTAATAACAGACTTGACATGCCATCAGTTCAGCCATGATTTGTAACCCACGTAGCAAAAGCAAACAAGTTTAGTATTTTCCAGGCTTCAATTCATGATCTTATTGGTTGAGACAGAGCAGGAATTAGAAACCTGAGGCTTTCCTGAAATATTAAAACTAACAGCCCAAAGCCAGCACAACTAATAAAAAAGCATGCCAGAGCTATAATTCAGCAATATATCATGTTTAATACGTTTGTTAGTGGTGGTCCCCAATGAGAAGCAAGCTCTTCTCTGTGTGTGTATAATTTTGATATTTTTTTTAAATAAGTGGATTTTATAAATTCTAGCAGTCTTTTTGAGGTGACATTTTGTTGGACTTAATGGAGCTAAAGTGGAGGGTAGACAGAGCCGCCCATTCTAATAGACGTTTTGCCTCAACATACCATTGTTCTCTGCCATCTTTTCTTTCTCTGTCAAGCATCCCACAGCTCCGAACTGCACTGTACTGAATGCTTGGAAAAAGCTGTTGAAATTACAGGTCATGCTACAACTTGCCACAGGGATGTGCATTTCAAATATAATGTCACAAGACACTGCAATTTTATATAGGATATGCATCTCAGAACATGTAACTGAACATCGTTATATTTGAAATGCATGTTAAGAAACCCCACTGTGCTTGATTTAACTTTTTTTCCCTGCAATTTATTTTATTAGAAGCCTGGAGTTATACTACAACATAATGTTTTGGTACAGTAATGCTCATAGTGATCTAGTACAGTGTTTTATAACCGTGGCAACTTTAAACTATATGGACTTCAATTTCTAGAATTCTCCAGCCAGCTTTGCAGTGAGAAACACTGATCTAGTGAACAGCATTTTTGTTTCTTGTTGCATTTTCCTCCCAGATTCTGTCTGTGAATAACCAGTATAAAACTTATTTCTTGTAAATATGCATTCATGAAAGAACATGTACTTGTGTTCTAAATGATTCATGAATTCTAAGGGACTTTGGGGTCTTCCTTATGAATTTAAAAAGAGGAGAAATGTTTCAATACTGTTATATTTGAAATTATTGTCATTATTGACAATAATTGTCATTATTGTTAAATTCCTAGTTATACAAAGGAACATAAATGTATATGTGCATGTGTGTATAAGTTGATGCTTTTGCTGGGTATCGGGAAACAAAAGGATCCTTTCTATTAAATCTGATAGCAAAATTTATCTGAGGGTAATATAAGCAGAAGGAAACTGCCTTAAAGATGAGCTTCAAAATTTTGAGATTCTGACATTTATATGATTCTGCATTTTATATTGATAATTTTTTCACTCCCCCAAATTTACGTCAGCTCATTTAAACTGCATGTGGTTGATAGAAAAAAAGATGTTATTTAACTTGACAAAGGCAACATGCAAACAGTAATATTAAATACTTGTAACTTCCTAAGGGAAAAACATTTGGCTACATATAGAATATTGCTGTGGGGCAAGAGGAAGGAATTATATATCAATTATTCTAAAACAGAATTAACAGTAAAATGCCGCACTCAGTCATGTTAATCTAGGACACCAGGCATAAACTCTTTATGTATGTTAACTTGTGTATTCTTGGCAAATTTCCAGATTCTGTAATGAAAGAAGTGTATGATAAAATAATTACTAGCTCTTACAAGACCAACATTTATGAGGTAATACTAGAAATTTGTGTAGTATGCAAGTTCAAACTTATTTTTGCAGCTAAGCCTTTGCTAAGATTTAGGCTTTGCAAACAATAGCACAACTTTTTTTTTGAAACATAAAAACTGTGCCATTACATTGCTCTGTTAAGTTGTTTTTTGGCAGTGTCAGTATTTTGCAATCCAGCGTGTAAGATTAGTAAGAGACCGACCAGAAAAAAAATTCTCTTCGCAGTAACGCTGTTCTTGTCAGTATCTGGTAACCTTATATGGAAGTGTGAAACTCAATCTGTATTCCTCCTTTAATAGCTATTGTTAAATTTTAATGATAGCTTTATCTCATGCATTGAAATAAATAGGTAGTGGTTAACCAACAGAAAAATGAAGAACTTGGACGAATTAATTGTTGTAGCATATAACAATTTAGGATTGTTCTGCTTTTTATTTTTTCCTTGGAAATGAAAATGATACAACGATGCTGCTTTCAAGGGGTGGCTGTATTAAAACTGTTTGCAGTTGTCGTGAAAACTGGCACAGTCCCTTAATCCTGTGCCAGTTCTTCAAAAGCCCTTTGACTGGCATGTTTCATTCAAGTCTCCCAAAAGATCTTCCTGTGAGTCTTTCCTGCATTACCTCTTTATCTACCAACATCTGACACAGCCGGTGATGTGGATACCCTAATTTATTCACTCAGAGAAAGAATTAATGGTGTAGAGGTTCATCAGGTCAGGTCAGTTTGTACAACTGCGGGCCACATATATCTGAAATAATAGGAAACTTTCTTTTGCTTCCTAATACCTATGATAAACAACCCCAGTACTGAACATAGAACAGGGGTGTCAAACTTGATTCCATTGAGGGTTGCATCAGGGTTGTGTTTGACCTCAGGGAGCTTGGGGAAGTGTGGCCAGCTTGACGTCACTCGTATCGGGAGCACCTGTGGAGCCAAATGCTACGGCAGGACTTTCCTAAGACTCTCCTTCACTCATTATAATATCCTTCCTTCCTTCCTTCCTTTTCTTCTTTTGCCCTCCCCTCTCCATTTTCCTTTCTTCTTCCTTCCCTCTTCTTCTTCCTTCCTTGCTCTCTTCCAATCTTTCCTTCTTTTTTTTGTCTTTCTTATTTCTCTTTCTCCTTTCCTATCCCTTCTTGCATGCTCAAAGGAGAAACATTTCTCCTTTTGTTTTGTTTTTAGTTTGTTTAGTTTGTTTTGCTAGTTCTCCTCTGCCAGTGAAAACAGGTGGACAGCACACGGCCCCTCCAGGCCCCATTTTCGGCCGCGATGCCCTCCTGCAGCCATCTATCAGCAAAAATGGAGCTGGGGGGCATGTGCATAGCCCTCCTGAGCTCCGTTTTTGCTGGCAGAGGCACTGCAGGCCGATCCTTTGCTGTTTCCAGGGCAGTCCCCCAGCCCAGATCTAAGCATCCCATGGGCCGGATCCGGGCCCCAGGTTTTGAGTTTGACACCCCTGACATAGAGGTGGTCCTCAACTTGTAATATTTAGTGACCATTCAAAATTACAATGGCACTGAGAAAAAGTGAGTTATGACTGTTTTTCACACTTATGACCCTTGCAGCATCCCCATAGTCACATGATCAAAATTCTTGGTAACTTATTCATATTTATGACACTTTCAATGTTCCGGGGTCATGTGATCACCATTTGCGACCTTCTGACAAGCAAAATGAATGAGAAAGCCAGATTCACTTAACAACCATGTTACTAACTAAATTGCAGTGATTCACTTAACAGATAACAGATAATCAGAGTTGGAAGGGACCTTGTAGGTCATCTAGTCCAACTCCCCGCCGCCCAAGCGGAAGACCCTACACCATTTCTGACAAATGGCAGGCCAATCTCTTCTTGAAAGTCTCAAGTGATGATGCTCCCACAACTTCCGAGGGCAAGCTGTTCCATTGGTTGATTGTTCTCAGTCAGAAAGTTTCTGCTTATTTCCAGGTTAAATCTCTCCTTGTTCAGTTTCCGTCCATTATTCCTTGTCTGGCCTATAGGCGCTTTAGAAAATAGCTTGAAGATGGCTATCATGTCTCCCCTGGTCCTTCTCTTTACTAGACTAGCCAAGCCCAGTTCCTGCAACCATTCGGTGTATGTTGTACTTAAAAATCTGTGGCAAGAAAGGTCATAAAACGGGGCAAAACTCACTTAAAAACACCTGTCTCACTTAGCAACAGAAATTTGAGACTCAGTTGTGGCCATAAGTCAAGGACTAAATGTACATGGTACTGCTGCTGTTTTTGTATACAGCATCACACCCCAAAATACTAAGCTAACTATTTTTGATGAATCAGTAAAATTGGTTTAGTAACTTAGTACACATTAGAAAGCAGTAAAAAAAAAAAGTAAGAATCTTGAGCTGCAGTGGCGCGGTGGTTAGAATGCAGTACTACAGGCTAATTTTGCTGCCTGCCGGCTGCCTGCAATTTAACAGATCAAATCTCACCAGGCCTCAGGGTTGACTCAGCCTTCCATCCATCCGAGGTGGGTAAAATGAGGACCTAGATCATTAGGGGGAAATATGCTGAATTAAGATTGCAGTAATTATAAACAGCATTAATAAATTCAACACATATATTACTCTTTAAAGAAAACCTTGGGTGACAATATCTGGTAGAGAAACCATGGCAGAGTAAGATAATAAAAAAAAATTCATTGATGTTCAAGCCTAAATATTTATTGACTGCTTGGTATGGTTTGTGATTGAACCTAAGGAGCCTAATTAGGCATTATAATGTTATGAGAAAAAATGTACATAGAAAAGTAACAATATTTACCTTTTGGGCAATGATGAGAGAAAGTGAAAATTGTTAATGCAACAGCAACAGGAGAACTAATTTCTCCACCATTTTATACCATCTCAATCTGGAATTTTGCTTCAAACACAAATACATGCATTACTGGCTGTTAAGCCAATAAAGTGAAATAGCTGTTTATTTTTCAAGTACTTGTCCCAAGTCTATAACAAAAGGAAAGGTAGGAATTTATTCTAGATCTGTTTTATTTTTATTTTCTGAAATCAGCACTTGGATTCATTCTTCATTCACAGATTATAATTTATTACTACGTTTCCTTCTCATTGTTTATGATTTGGTTTTGATGTCTCTGAATATAGATCTATTGGTTCAAAGATGGAAAGCAAATCTCTAAAAGGAATGAGCATTACCAGATGCAAAGAGAACCTGATGGGACCTGCTCTCTCCATACCTCTGCCTCCACCCTCGATGATGATGGGAATTATACTGTTATGGCTGCCAATCCACAGGTAGAACAAGTCTTAGCTATAAAATCAGTATGCTCTTGGGCACAGATGTTTGTTTACATGCACAGTCTGAATTAAAGGTTTAATTGAGAAATGATGTCATTCTAGGGCAAGTGTTACTTAAGTCTTCTCAGCTCATACTCATGATGCCAAGTTGAGAATACAGAGCCATTGGGGAATGATTCAAACTGTTTGACAGACTAGAAATAAACATTAAACTAAGCAAAAAAAACAGTAAGAGAACACCTGTCTGATCTCGATGATGGATTACATGCCAACGTTCTTATCTTTTTGAATAAGTTTTTTTTATTTTTTATAACAAATATGCAAAACAACAAATAAAACCTTCTTTCAATTGTACAGTTTGTCGGTTTGATACATACTGGTGAATCTCAAAAAAACAGAATATCGTGCAAAAGTTCATTTATTTCAGTAATGCAACTTAAAAGGTGAACCTAATACATGAGATAGACTCATTACATGCAAAGCAAGATAGTTCAAGCCGTGATTTGTCATAATTGTGATGATGATGGCTTACAGCTCATGAAAACCCCAAATCCACAATCTCAAGAAAGTAGGATATTACATGCAATCAATAAAATAAGGATTGTACATAGAACAATATCGGAGCTCTGGAAAGTATAAGCATGCATATGGACTCAGTACTTGGTTTGGGCCCCTTTTGCAGCAATGACTGCCTCAATGCGGCGTGGCATGGAAGCTATTAGCCTGTGGCACTGCTGAGGTATTATGGAAGACCAGGATGCTTCAATAACGGCCTTCAGCTCTTCTGCATTGTTCGGACTCATGTCTCTCATCTTTCTTTTGGCAATGCCACATAGATTCTCCATGGGGTTCAGGTCAGGAGAGTTTGCTGGCCAATCAAGCACAGTAATCCCACGGTCATTGAACCAGTTTTTGGTGCTTTTGGCAGTGTGGGCAGGTGCCAAGTCCTGCCGGAAAATGAAGTCAGCATCCCCATAAAGCTCGTCTGCGGAAGGAAGCATGGAGTGCTCCAAAATCTCCTGGCAGATAGCTGCATTGACCCCAGACTTAATGAAGCACAGTGGACCAACACCAGCAGATGACATGGCTTCCCAAATCAACACAGACTATGGAAACTTCACAGTGGACTTCAAGCATCTTGCAGTGTGTGCCTCTCCATTCTTCCTCCAGACTCTGGGTCCTTGGTTTCCAAATGTAATGCAAAAGTTGCTCTCATCAGAAAAGAGGACTTTGGACCACTGAGCAGCAGACCAATTCTGTTTTTCTTTAGCCCAGGTAAGACGCTTCTGACGTTGTTTGTTGTTCAGGAGCGGCTTGACAAGAGGAATACGACATTTGAAGCCCATGTCCAGGATCCGTCTGTGTGTGGTGGCTCTTGATACACTGGCTCCAGCCTCAGTCCACTCCTTGTGAAAGGCCCCAACACTTTTGAATGGCCTTTTCCTGACAATCCTCTCCAGGCTGTGGTCATCCCTGCTGCTTGTGCACCTTTTTCTTCCACACTTTTCCCTTCCACATAACTTTCTATTAATGTGCTTTGATACAGCACTTTGGAAACATCCAATTTCTTTTGCAATTACCTTTTGAGGCTTTCCCTCCTTATGGAGGGTGTCAGTGATGGTTTTCTGCACAACTGTCAGGTCAGCAGTCTTTCCCATGATTGTGATTCCTACTGAACCAGACTGAGAGACCATTTAAAGGCTCAGGAACCCTTTGCAGGTGTTATGGCTTAATTAGCTGATTAGAGTGGGACACTTTGAGCCTAGAATATTTAACCTTTTCACAATATTCTAATTTTCTGAGATTGTGGATTTGGGGTTTTCCTGAGCTGTAAGCCATAATCATCTCAATTATGATTATGATTTGTTTTGATATATCTAACAATATGTTCCATTTTAAAAACAATTGGATACTCAAATGCCTCTATTGTTGATAACCAGACTGGTATTTTCAAATAATAATGTTTCCTTATTTTCTCCCATGTTGATAATAAGACATCTCAAATATAATGTCTCCAAAAATATCCATGCCCTTTACTTTCCTTATACCACAAAAATGCATGCCATCCCAATTGCAAATCATGGCCTTTCAATGTTAATAGTCTAGTATTTCTCAAAACAATCCATTCTTTCATCCACATCAGTATTACTGCCTGATAATATAATTCCCAATTGGGTAATCCAAAACCTCCTCTCATTCTAGTATCTTGTAATAATTTTAGTTTAATTCTTGTCTTCTTTCCCTGCCATGTATATTTCAACATCATTTTGTTTAAGTCCTCAAAGCATTCTTTCCCTAGTTTTATTGGAATCATCTGAAACAAATTTAATATCCTTAGTAGTATATTCATCTGAATTGTAGATATTTTCCCTATTAGAGATAATTGTAGATTTTTCCAAGTCTGTCGCAATCTGTTGCTTTAATTTGTAATAATTATCTTCCTTGAGTGTTCCACATCTTGCTCTCAATTGTATTCCCAAATATTTCACTTTGTTTGTGATCTGGATATTCAATCTGTCCATCAATACTTTCCTTTGTTTTTCTGTTATATTCTTAACTAAAATCTTAGTTGTTTATTTATTTATTTTTAATCCTGCAACCTGTCCATATTCTTCTATCATTTCTATCAATTTAGAAGCTGTTTCCAATGGTTCTTCTAATATAAAGTCCAGATCATTTGCAAATGCCTGCAATTTATATTCCTCCTTCTTTATTTTCATTCCCTTTATCTTTCCTAATATTTCTAGTTAATACTTCCAGAGTCAGTACAAATAACAATGGTGACAGAGGACATCCTGGCCTAGTTCCTTTTTTAATATTAATGTTATCTGTCAAATCTCCATTTATCATTACTTTTGCAGATTGTTTATAATATACTGCCTCGATCGTTTTAATCTTTCTCCAAAACCCATCTCTTCCATTTGCAGTAACATAAATTGCCAATTTACATTGTCAAAAGCTTTTTGTGCATCTAAAAACACCTAGACCATTGCTTCTCTGGGTGTGCTTCATAGTATTCCAATGTATTCAATATTATTCTCATGTTGTCTTTTATTTGCCACTTAGACAAAAATCCATTTTGATCAGTATGTATAAAGTGGCTCAGATATCTTTTAAGACTTTCTGCCATTATTGAGGGAAATATTCTGTGGTCTGCATTCAATTGGGCTATAGGTCTGTAGCTTTTTTTCTGTTGTAGATCAGTATCTTCTTTTGGTATAACCCTCTGTCCATGAATTAGGTACTTTAGTTTTTAACAAAACCTCAATATTTCAAGCATTGCAATGCTTAAAGATTCCTGCAAAGTCTTGCAAAGTTCCACTGGTAGCCCATCTGGCCCCAGTGCTTTTCCAGTATTTTGTCTATTTATCGCTTCTATCAGTTCCATCATTGTTATTTTCCCTTCTTGCATTATCTTAGTTTCCTTGGATATTTGGGGTAATATCATGCCCCATTGAAGTCTGACTCTGAGGGAGAGATGGAACAGCTGACAGGGAGTGGGAGTATGGCTCCTTGGTTGTGGAGGAAACTGGGGAAGGGCACAAGCCAGATGGGCATTCAGAAGAAGACCCAGGCCCATCCCCTCTTCATCCTAGGGCACGCAGGGAGGAGCGGATAAGGGAGAAATGTGAGTGGCATTGCCTATGGGGGAGGAAAGGGCCCTGATCCCTTTCATGGACTGCAGCTGGGAGGACTGTTTAAAAGGACAAACTGCACATGGCAAAGTTGCTGGAAGCAAAGCATGCATTATTCTTGTCGGAGCTTATCTGTGTTTTGGCTTCCTCCAACTGTGGTTGCTGCATTATCTGGTAGAAGTCTGCAATTAATCATCCTTGCCTGACATAGTAATTCCTTCAGTGTGGTTTGTGTTGGGTTTTTTATTTTTAATTAACTTTACTTTGGGTGCGGACTGCATTTATTTCCTCCATAAACTGTTTTCTTTAAGAGTTTAATATCCAGCTGAGGAAAATTGGACATTGGGACCAAGTTGGATGCATTAAAGGGATTTTATTCTATTTTTGTGACTTGGTTATTTTTGTGTCATGCCTGGGTGATCACAGGTAGTTCTGCTTTTTGCAGATATTGTTTAACTTTTCCTTCTTCAATATTCTCTTGATTCTCTTTTCCATTTCTCATAGTACTTCTGTACTATTTGTTTCTTTTTTCTTCATTTCCATAACAAACCGTTCCATGTTCATCTATTAATTGTATTATCCTTTTCATTTCTCTCTTCTTTTTCAGTTTATATGCTAACCATCTATCTGGTTTATTTGCATTTTCAAAAAAAAATATGTTTAGCTCTCCTGTTTTTTTGTGCCAATTCTTCTTTTTCCATTAACCCCATTTTGTGCTTAACTATTCCATTTGACTAGTAATATCCTTTTTTTGTGGATATCTTTGCAGTTCTTTCTCCAGTTTCTTGTAGTCCTCCTCTAATATTTTTTAATATTCCTTCTTCTCGTATAAGTTATAATCAGACCTCTGATAGGCCTTCATAGTGTCCCATACATTTTGTAATGAAGTTCCCTCATTTTTTTAAAGAAAAAAGCCAGTTCTTTTTCCATATTTTGTATAAATTCTTTTTCCTTCAAAATTGAATTATTCATAGTCCATCTTGATCTTTTCTTTTGTCCTTGCCATTTGACCCATATTGGGTTATGGTTCGCCCAAGTACTTGTTTCAATATTTACTTCTTGTATATTGGAGATTAGTTCTGTTGACATAAATAAATCATATTTATTCTTGACCATGATAAATACCTATTAGAGTAAAATGTATATTGTCTATTCTTAGTGTTCATTTTTCTCCAAACATCCCAAATACTTAATTCCTCTACCATCTTGAAAAAGGATTTTGGCAATGTCTTTTTATTTTTTTTATAACTGTTTGTGTTTGTAGTCCAATTTTATATCCACTATAGCGTTAAAATCTCCAAGAATGCATATATTATCCTATTCCAGTTCTATTATTTTCTTATGCAATTGTTTGTAAAATTC